TAATTGTTCTCAAAGTGTGGACCATGACCAGCAGCATGAGCATCACCTGGGAACTTGTTAGAGATCCTAATTCAAGAGCCCATCTGAGATCTACAGAATCAGAGTGGGGCCCAGAGCCTGGTGTTTTGACAACCCTCTGAAAGATTCTGATGCATGCCAAATTGTGAGACCCACCGATTCAGGGTTGAATGCAGGAAACTTGTCTTCTGAGACATCTGTGCCTTTTTACTCCCTCAGACGACTTATTTGTCAAGTCAATTGTGTCCATTACCAACATCTTCAACCCAATTAGCCTTGTAATTCTGACTATATACTTTAAAGGAAAATAGCTAAAGTCACTGATAAATGAGAGGCAGAAAAAAAAATCATATGTAAATAAGAAGAGCCTGAAACAATGGATCCTGCAGTCAGATTTCATTATAAATGCTTTAAGTTTACATTCTAAAATTGGAAAGTCGTTGTCAACAGGGCAGTACTGACCTCTAGGGGTTGTTTTGGAGACTCATGGGGCATTTTTGGTTGTTTTCACTACTGGTATTTAGTGGACAGTGAGCAGGAATGTTAGACATCCTGTAATGGCCTGTACAACTTTGGAAAGTTCCACTGAGTATTCAACAGGTAAAAAGCCTACTTATCAATCAAGGAGGTGAAGCATAACTCCCCACCAAGTGTGGGCTTCATGTGAGTTTCTTCCAAAGAGTACTATGTGGGGAAAGGGTAGGCGGAGAATAACTGTACAGTGGAAAAACCTGACAAGCACTACCTCAGCCAGGTGATTATGGTCAGTGTCATTAGTAGTACGGCATGTTGACAGCATGTACCTTTGATATGATGTGATGAGAAGACCACTTTACCTCTGCGGTCTTCCTCCTAAAAAACCTATACTGAGGTTTCATCATGACAAAAACAAGACAGAAAATGCCAATTGGGAAACATTCTACAAAATATCTAGTTAGTACTTCTCGAAGCTGTCAAAGTCATCAAAAACAAGGAAAGCCTCAAAACTGTCAGTCTAGAGGATCCTATCAGTAACTTGGTGACTAAATTTAATATGATTTCCTGGATGGCATCTTATAAAAGAAAAAGTAAAAACTAAGGAAATCTGAAGGAAGTACGGACATTAGTGAACAATATCAATATAGGTTCATCAGTTATGAAGAACGCACCACACTAATGTATGATTTTAAAAACAGGAGTAACTGGGTATGACTAGATGGGAACTTTGTACTATTTTTGCAACATTTCTATGAAACTATTCTAAAATAAAACAAATTCTGGGCCTACTTTTTAATTATCTGAACCTAGAACTATTATTTTGTTTCTTTGCATATGTAATTTTAGTATTCACCCAGGACAAAACCACCATGTAAGTGAGAATTTATTTATTTAGCGAAAACTTTAGCAAGAATTGATCACCATGTTGGAAAAGGATGTTTCCAACAGTAACACCATTTGTGTTCTTTGACTCACCAGTAAAACACACCTATTATCAATATGTATCTAAAGTTGTAAAATTACAATTTTTCACAGTGTTAACAGTACTCTATTGACGTTTTTTTTCTTCCATAATTCAAGGCAAGCACCTGAATACTTCACTATCTTTTAATGTAGTAGTATGTGGGCACTTACATTCTGAAATGCACAGTATTTTATTACAAATTGACTTTATTTTTCCTACACATATAAAGGCATTGACTGACTTTTTAAAGTTGTGTATATGGACAAGTTATATCAAGTGAATTTCATTTTCCTGATGAAATAGGTGTGATAGATATTATAAATGTTGCAATGTTAAAATAAACAAGGCCTACTAAGTCTAACATGGTTGAAAAGCACAATCTTAGACCTACATTCTTTGAGGGCAATAAATGTCTTGTGATTTTTTTTTTTCTTTTTTGAGACAGAGTCTCTGTCACCCTGGGCAGAATGCCATGGTGTCATAGCTCACAGCAACCTCAAATTGTGGGACTCCAGTGATCCTCTTGCCTTATCTCCCAAGTAGCCAGGACTATAGGTACCTGCCACAATGCCTAGCTAGTTTTTCTATTTTTGGTAGAGACAGGGTCTCGATCTTGCTCAGGCTGGTCTAGAACTTCTGAGCTCTAGTGATCCTCCCACCTTTGCCTCCCAAAGTGCTAGGATTTCAGGCATGAGCTACTACCACTCCCAGCTCTGCACCACTGGGTTCTCAATATCTAATTTCACCCCATTGCAGTTTCTGTTTATAGCTACCCAGAGTCCCTATTTGCTCTTCCCTTCTGACTGGCAGTCTCAATTTTGATCCAGTGTGCACCTCATGGAGCAAACTTGGGTAAATATGATCCAGCTAAATCAAAGTGGTTTCATCCCCTTTGCTAGTGATTAGTGACAGGCAAGTGACCCAGTTCTGCTTGAGACATGAGGGAAATTCTGCTAAGGATCTTTTGGAAAGCTTTTTTGCTCCTTATTGGACACATGAATAAAACGTTCTTTTCTTTCACTGGACATTGTTGGTCTACACATGACACCTGAAGTCATACAGCAGGCATCTTTGATTACAAGTATTTGGGCACAAAGAGGAAAATGCTGAAAATGACAGGATGGGAAAGATGAAAGAAATCTGGGGTTCTTGATATCTCAGAATGCTCTATCAACCCATTTTAGAATCTCTGCAATGCTTGCTGTGTAACATAAAGTTGAGTTTTTTTTCTTTTTCTTCTTTGTTTTCTTTGAGACAGTCTTGCTGTTGCCTTGGGTAGAGTGCAGTGTCATCCATCATCCTAGCTCACAGCAACCTCAATCCTCCTGCCTCAGCCTCGGGAGTAGCTGGGACTACAGGCACAGCCCCCAACACCTGGCTAGTTTTTCTACTTCTTATAGAGATGGAGGTCTCACTATGTTAATCAGGCTGGTCTTGAACTCCTGAGCTCAAGCAATCCTCCCAGAGGGCCAGGATTATCAGCATGAGGCACTGTGCTGGCCATAGCTGTTTTTTTTTTTCCTTATTGCCAGCTGCAAGCATCTGTATCAATATAACCTTTACAAGCAGCTGAGTTGCTACAGATTATTTATATATGTTGTTCTGTGGATGGAATGTTTGTCCCCCCCTCCCCATTCACATGTATAAGCATAATTCCCCATGTGATGGTATTTGGAGGTGGGATCTTTGGGAGGTAATGAGAGTGGAAGCCTCAGGAATGGAATTAGTGCCCTTCTAAGAGACAGAGACGACCTCCCTTGGCTGTGTTAGAACACCACAAGAAGCCACCTCATGAAGCAGGCCTCACCAGCAGGCCTCTGCTGGTGCCTCAACCTTGGATTTCCCAGCCTCCAGAACTGTGAGAGATACATGTTTGTTGTTTAAGTCACCCAGTCTATGGTATTTTTCATTATAGCAGCCTGAATTAAGGCACCCTGCATGCAATCCTGGTCAAAATAGGGAAGCTAAAGGTGATTCCTTTCCAGCCAACAGCCTATATTATAACAGCCTGAATTAAGGCACCCTGCATGCAATCCTGGTCAAAATAGGGAAGCTAAAGGTGATTCCTTTCCAGCCAACAGCCTATATTATAACAGCCTATATTATAACAGCCAACCACCTATATTATAACTGAGTTCTTGTCTTAGCTCTGCAGGGCTCAAGGGAAACTGACTTATTCGAATCGACTGCTATAATCATGGAAAACAAGAAAACTTACTTCTTGTGATCTAGTTCACACTTTCATATCATCATTCACTTCTCAGTTAAGTTAATTTCCCTAGCAAGGCCTGATAGTATGATATATAGTCATGCCACCATCAATGTATGCAGGGGATTTGTTCCAAGATCTCCCACAGATACCCAAACCCTCAAGTATTCAAGTCCTACAGTCCACATATGAGAGTCAGTCCTCTGGACACATGGATACACGGACTTCACAATTCTGCACATACTGCATTTTCAATCTGTATTTAGTTGAAAAGAATTCCTGTATAAGTGGGCCTAGGCAGATCAAACCCATGTTATTCAAGGGTCAACTGTATGTGTGTGTATATATATATATATAAATTCATATATGAATGAATTTAAGAAATAAGCAAGGACTATCTTTTGGCAAGATTTACATAGCAAGTAGCGAATACTTCTTTCCCTGGAAATAAGGCTGAAATGACAGAGTTTATGAATCTATTAGTCCTCTTATTTTCTTTTTTAAATTAAAAAAATTATGGGCAGCGCCTGTGGCTCAAGAGAGTAGGGCGCCAGCCTTATATACCGGAGATGGTGGGTTCAAACGCAGCCCCAACCAAAAACCGCAAAAAAAAAAAAAATTAGGCCAGGTGCAGTGGCTCATGCCTGTAATCCTAGCACTCTGGAAGGCTGAAGCAGGTGGATTGCCTGAGCTCACAGGTTCGAGACAAGCCTGAGCAAAAGCAAGACCTCATCTCTAAAAATAGCTGGGTGCTGTGGTGGGCACCTATACTTCCAGCTACTCAGTAGCTGAGGCAAGAGGATCATTAGAGCTCAAGAGTTTGAAGTTGCTATGGCTATGATGCCACAGCACTCTACCAAGGGCAACAAAGTGAGACTCTGTTTCCAAAAAAATAAATAAATAAATAAATAAATAAAAATATCATTTTTGATTTTTTTGTTTGTATTTATCTGTACCATTTTCTTTTTGGGGGGAGGGGCAAAGTCTCTCCGCACCCAGCTCCCTACCATTTATTTTCTAAGTTTAGTACTCAACATGTAGAATTAACCTTCATTAAGTCCCTATGACTCAATCACCTTCTGATATTTGGCCTTTCTTCTCTCTGTACTTTATCTACCACAGTCCTTTATTTCTTATTTGCTCTTCTCTTCCCTCTTTTCCCACACTTCCTTATCCACAGAACCTACCTAGTTTACAGAATTAAAGTACAATTTCAAGTATCCTTGGTTCAGAATGAACCTGCATACCTTTTTAAATCCTTTCAGTATTCTCTGAGGACAGGCTGTTTTAAAGAATGAAGCTGCTAGACAGAAGCTTGTAAGTTAAATATAGTCTCTTTTGAAATTTTATTTTGGTCTATAAGTATGGCTATTTGTTTAAATTGTTCACATAAATCCATTTCATCCAAAGAAGAAATGTAAAGTGCTTCTAGCAGTGCAAGCGCAGTGGGCAGGACCTACCCAAAGGTCTTCCACTATAGAAAGTCTATATGTAGTCAACCACAAGCCGAGTTTTCACAGACCAGGCCTTTTGAGAGTTTCAAAATCACTTTGATTTTTAAAAGGCCATCAAATGTCAATCATGGCAGAGAAGGAAGCCCATTAAGCTGATTTCTGATAACTAAGTTTTTATTGAACATAATTCGTTACATGTGGCTACTGGCATCAAGAAGACCTTGGGGTAGAGGGGGCTCTTCCAGGCTAATATAGGCATCACCTACAGGAATAACAGGGTGTCTGTCCCTAAAGCAGTCACGTGCTAAAGACTCTCCTACTGCTTCTTCCCTCACCACAGTACTCAGGCTAGGGAGCCAAGAGCACAATGCTCCACTCACTGAATGTTCCTGCAACAGGAGCCTAGTGAAGGGGGTACTGTGAGGCACTGTGAGGCACAATCTAATACCAAAAATGATGGTGAGATCTTGAGTACTTGAGCCTATTTATATTGCCTTCCATTCACTGTAAGTTACTTTGTATGCTTAGCCTGTTTTCTTTCTTAGAAGGATAGTTGTCAGTATTAAAATCTTACAGCCTAGTGTCTGGGTACCCAGTAAAAATTTTATTTTTTACTCCTTCCCATTCCCAGTTAAATGAGGTCAGTCCTTGAACTTCAAATGTACTTTATAAGTAAAATGAAACTACTTTTTCTATCAGTATCCTCGTCAGCGTGATTCTGAATTACTCTCGAGAGTACCTTCTCTTTTGTAAAATAAACACTTTGTACTGTTTGAAGTACACATGAAGTTTCATTCTTGTTCTATGTTCTTTATGTGCCACTGTGGAAAGTTATTTCTGAGGAATCGAAACCCCAGAAGATAACCACAACAAAAGCATGTTAAATACTTTTTTTGGGAAAATGATGATTCAAAGGCAGACTTGAAGAGAAGTATTATTTAGGAGATACAAGGCAAGTAAATACAGCCTCTGAAGGGAACTGTTCTAATTATCAACTAAAAAGTAAAGTTACACAACTATATTCAAGGACATAAGATAAAGCATTACTTTAAAACCAGAATGACTGAAAAGTTAGGAGAAAAAACTCCAGCTGAAATAGGAAAGGAAAATGGATTTAAGAATAATTTGAACCGCAATAATGATCCATAAGTTCTAGATCCTTCTGTTATCTGTGTATCTTCAATCACATTGTTTACTTTTTCAATCTGTGTCTTCACTGAAATCTCAAAGAAGCATTCTTCATAGTACTAAACGATAGCTCTCATTTTGTTAGGATTCAAAATTTCAATCCAGTAGCCATCAGGGTCCTGAATAAATGCCAGGCCTTTCATCTTACCTATAAAAGGAAAATGTTCATTATTGAAAAGACTTTTAAAAATTACAAATTAAATGATGTACATTCTTGTTTGTATTTTTAATTAACTTTTTTTTTTGAGACAGAATCTCACTATGTCGCCCTTAGTAGAGTGCCGTAGTGTCACAGCTCACAGCAACCTCAAACTCTTGGGCTTAAGCGATTCTCTTGCCTCAGCCTCCCAAGTAGCTGGGACTATAGGTGCCCATCACAACACCCAGCTATTTTTTGGGTGTAGCTGAGATTGTTGTTTGGCAGGCCCGGGCTGGGTTCAAACCCGCTAACTCTGGTGTATGTGGCTGGCACCCTAGCCACTGAGCTACAGGCGCCAAGCCAGTGTATTTTTCATTTTTAAAAGTTCTATATTGTCAGTATTGCACAAATGCATGCTTTTCATAATGACTAAAATGTTATCTTCTATACATATTTGAAAACCGGCCTTCCTGAAATAAACTGTGGCACTGGGTGTATCTTTTAGATTTTAGGTATTTGCTTCACCGTCATGATACCATTACATGCTGTTAGGCTGGCCAAGTGCACTCCATCTTAGATCGCAAAGAACCATTCTGTAAGGCTGTTACAGGTGGACATAACTCAAGGGAGACATGCCACAGGCTCGTCATGTCCTTGCACCAGTCCAGTTACAAACCTGTAAGAAATATGTTTACACTGCAAGCCCCTGACACCCTGATAAGAAGAGCAAGCCCAGAGAGTCCCAAGGATGAGCTGCATGTCCTTGGCACTCTGATAAGAAAGACTTGCCTGTAAAGCCAAATGCTTTTCAGCTTGTCATGAATAGAAGTGCCTTCCTCCCTAATGCTGCTGACATCTCTTTAGATCTCAGCCCGTTTATATCCTAAGGGTAAAATTACCTTTCTGGCTTGTTTGCTACATTTGGTCTTGTGTGTTTTGATTCAGGCCTCATTTTACCTATCACCTACCAGTTCAATAGTAACAGAAATTACCTTTTTTTATAGAAGAAAAAGAAGAAAGGAAGGTGCTGAAGGGAGCTGGCAGCATGGCTTACCCAAACAGAAGACCTAGATGTTTGGTCACACAAACCCTTTTCAACACATTACTAGGTATCCTAAGCTGTGCCAACCAGATTCTTTCTCTCAGGAATTCATAACTGGGACTGAGGTTAGAAGGTCAAAGCTGTTTGCCTAAATAGAAAAATGTGACCTCAGAAATTTATCTGGGGACCAGGATGTTGAATTGGTTTGACTCCTATCTTTGGCTCCTTTCCACAAGATCAAACCTAGGGGAACACAGATGGAAAATGAAAAAAAAAGGGCAAGAAACCCTAGTGGTGAGGGTTAGGGATAGGATGAGATGACTTTTTTCACCTGGTCTGTGTGGGAGGCCTCACTGCTGTGGGAGAATAAACAGAAGGAATTTTGTTTTTACTGCCCCCACACTTTCCCAAGTGCCTTAAGCATCACATTGTTCTTGCTCTTACATTTGTTCAGATGTCCTTAGGAGTAGATAAGGACAGTGCTTGTGAGAAACTGAGAAAAACAGGTGGAGGTCACCTGATCCCCCCAGCCCTCTCTCCACACACCCAGGAATAGGAGATAACCTCAGCAGTGTCTCCTACTAATACTGCTTTTCCCTGAGGACAAATGCGAGGATGGACCCGAATAGTAGAGTGTTAGGTGTTTAAGTCTCATTTCCAAGTGCCCAGGGATCTCCACTCTGGGCTGACCCAGCCCACCTTCCTGAGATGGACTTGTTCAGTGCTGGGGTCTGGTCTCTCCCCTTTACACACTGCTTTACAGACCAGAATAGCTAACAGTTGTAGTGGTGGTGGTGTGGGGGGAGGATCTGAAGCCAAAAAATGAAAATTTGAGAAATATAACCATTTAAAATCTCCAAACAATGGATTATAGATTCAAATAAAAGATATATTAGAATAATGGAACAAGAACTATTTAATGGGCAGCACCTGTGGCTCAGAGGAGTTGGGTGCTGGCTCCATATGCCGGAGGAGGCGAGTTCAAACCCAGCCCACCCAAAAATTGCCCCCCCCAAAAAAACAAAACTATTTAAAAAAGTAAAAGTAATGAACAGTGTGAAATGTTCCTAATATGAAATAAGAATAAGAAAATATTAAAGGGACCAAGCAAAAATTAGGGATGAAAATTATAACAGATGATTAAAAACACAATAGATGGGTTAAATATCAGAAAAGACACATTTGGGGAAAAATTACTAATTGGTATTCCAGTGCAGAGAAATCTCCCAGAAAGCATGCAAGGACAAAGAAATAATATAAAAAGCTTCCAGAACAAAACAGAGGAATATACAAAAGAATATAAATCAGACTGAAAGCAGATTTTTCAATAGCAACATTGAATGCAAAAAGAAAACAGTAGTCTCTCCAAAATGGAAGGAAAATAAACCTAGGATTTTCAACAAAGCTATTATTCACACAAAAAGGCATGGTTCTCAGGCACGCAGAGTCTCAAAAGTTTTGTTTCACAAACCCATTGAAAACAGTTTGGTTCAGAAAAATCCAAAGATGTTATAAGAGATATATGAGAAAAAGATGATCAAATAATATATTTTTTGTTATGTTAAAAAAAGCCAACCAAAAAGAAAAACTATCCCAGTCTAGGTAATAATAATGATATAAGGTTCCCCCATTCAGGGCTAGACAGACCAGGTCCTTCTAAGCCTGAGCAAACAGATTTTTGGGGGGCAACCTCACACTGAACACAAGCAGGATTTCATCAGGATGGCCCCTCCAGGAGTGGAAAGCATACACACCCTGCTGCTTTGTCTGAGGCAGGAACTACAAGAACCTCATTCATTTGCTAACACAGTCATTCTCTAATCAACATGCACAGGGATGTTTTTGTCTGCCAGCTCCTCAAATCACCATGAGTGATTTTTTTACTCCCAAAATCTTTTTGCTTGGATGCAGTACATGAATAAACCCCCAGACACAAGACCCACACGGGTCTTCCCACTTGGGAATTGTCCCCCCTCCACTGCCACAGCCTTTGTTGCCTTTCTATGTATTTCTCTGTAAAATAAACCCCTGTCTGGGGTTTCATTCTTGAGTCTCCAAGACCAAGTACCTGACACAGAAAAAATATTGGTAATGGTAACTTGATGGGGGTTGAATTCTTTTATTTAATAACAAAAGAAAGAAAACGAAATAGTTAACTGTTTCAAATTAAAACTGAAATAATAAATTACAGTAGCAGAAACAGATCTAAGTAAAATCATCATAAGACATGTAAAGCCAACCAAATCTAGATATATGGTGCTGTTTCAAGAAACATACCTAAAATGTAAGGACAAAGGTTGCAAAAGATAGAAAAGAAATGCTATTAACTAAAGAAAGCTGGTATAGTTATATTAGTATCAGATAAAAGAGACTTTAAGTGGGCACAGTGGCTCATACCTATTATCCCAGCACTTGGAAACCTGAGGTGGGAGGATCACCTGAGGCCAAGAGTTTCAGATAAAACAGACTTTAAGAAACTTATTTTAGGGTGGCCAGATACACCCTGAAATGGTGAAAGCTGGTGCCCAATGAGAGAATGTAGGAGGTTTGGGGGTGGGAGGCAGCTTTTTGATGCTCTCTACGTCCTGTGTCTAGTCCTTTGTGAAGCCGTCCTACTTGCTGTCTTTCAGTTCCCTAAGATACTCAGGTATCCTTCCAATAATTTCCCTTCTTCGTAGACTTCTGTTACTTGCTGCCAAAGAAAATGATATAAGGTTTCCTTATATCATTGTTTTATACAACAATGTCCCCTGTGGATACTTAGTAAATATTACTTATCTAAAGAGAGGAGTGAACATGGTAAGTAGGACACTCACCATCATCAGGTTTCTTCACAAATTTGACTCCCAGTTCTTCAAATCTTTTACAAGCACTGTGTACTTCAGGAACAGCAATTCCAATGTGACCTTAGCCGCCCCCCAATAAAAAAAATACAGAGAAGAAATAATTACAACAGGGTATCCAAGTGCCCCAAATGGCTCCCAAAACTTGTTTATTTCAAAATGTAAGGCACTTAGAAACAGACTGAATCAAGTAGGTTCAAGATCTACAATATATTAAAGAACAAATATAGGTCTAAGTGGCTGGGTAAAATGAATTGATTAGTTGCTCTGAATTGTAAGTTATTTAAAGTAAACCAACATTGGTTCAGATATAGTTCAATCTGTTAAGACTAGTCTACACTAGGCCAGGTGCGGTGGCTCACAGCTGTAATCCTAGCACTTTGGAAGGCTGAGGTAGGATGATAGCTTGAGGCTAGGCAAGACCCTGTCTTTACAAAAAGTAGAAATATTAGCCAGGCATGGTGGTACATGCCAGTCGTCCCAGCTACTTGGGAGGCTGAAGAAGAGGGAAGATCACTTGAGACCAGAAGTGTGAGGTTGCAGTGAGCCATTATGATACCCCTACACTCTATCCTGGGTGACAGAGTGAGACTCTGTCTCAGTAAAAAAAAAAAAGAGTAGTCTACACCAAAAAAGAATAATCATTTGTTATTGACATTGACTATGTAACAACCAACTGAGGGCTGTAATCTTGTCATCTCAACTCAGAGATTTTATATTAAGGCAGAAATTGGGATTACTATTAACTATAGCTTTTGTTTTAGAATTCAAATGTCTACTGAAAATATATTACTAAGAGTTAAAGTAAAATCTTTGTGAAAGAGCAAATGTAATGTTTAGACTGAGACTGTGAAATAAAACAATTCCTAAATAATATTATTTGTATAAAATAAAAATAACCATACTTCTAATAAATAGATACATTTACTAATTAGGCCATTAATGTTTTAGGTTTATTATAACCATAATTATGTACACAGTACAAAATCACACAAATTCATATATATTACATACAAATAGACGAACATACCAAATCCTCGAGGGTCTGAATTGCCATTGTGGTAACTCTGGGCCTCATCATCTTCAGTGCCCCAATTGCTACAAAAGGAGGGAAAACATAACTACGATGTCCTGTAGAACAGATATTCTGAAAAGAAAGTTACAATACCTGCCTTTGAAATCTTACCATGTGTATATGCTGCTTTTCATACTTAGCCTAAGCCCTGTTACTACAAATATTTCCAACTGTAGAAAGGGCAAATAGGAGAGGTGGGCAAGATGGCCGACAGGTACCAGCCTCCAACAGACGCTCCTGTTCAGAGGGAAGGATAAAGTCCAGAAAACACCCCCAAAAAGTTGAAGACTAGGAGCCCACCTGAGAGAGAAGAGTCATACCTGCAGGACACCTCTGCTGAGGCAAGCTGCCACTCCTGGAGTGCAACTTACAGGTAAAGGAAAGTATCTGTCCCCTCCCCCAAGGGAGCTGTGTTTTTCTCTGTTTTCTCTTTGTCTGCTCCTGTAAGCTTCCTACAGGCGAGAGATAAACTGAGGACCTATTATCTCACCCTACGTGTGAGAGCTACAGGCAGTGGGGTCTACTCCTCTAGAAGGACCCTGCTGACACACTGAACACCCTCTTGCCAGGCAGAAAAATCGAACTAAAGTTTCCACTGCCATTCTGACTCTCCAGTCCATCCTTGCCCCTTTGCCTGCAGAGACAGTGAGAGGAGGCTCAAGAGTAGTGGCCCCCAACCCGTGGGACCAAGTGCACTGTCCCAGCCCTGCAACTGTGTTCCCGCGTGGCCTCTGGGGTCACCCAGGTGGGGCTGAACTAGGACTGATCTGGCCACGTTCTCCGTCCCGCCTCTGCCATTTCCCTGCCCCTGGTTGCCCTGGTGGCCGAACCAGGACTGATCCAGGGTGCCCTGCACCACTGCTGCCATTCTCCTACCCCTGTTGCCCCAGCAGGGCTGAACTAAGACTGATCTGGCTACTGCCGTTCAGCTGCCCCTTGGTTGCCCTGGTGGGCCGAACTAGGACTGATCCAGCCAGGCATGTTCCCCACCAGCTGCTGCCATTCGCCTGCCCCCTGGTCCCTCCGGCAGGGATGAAGTAGGACTGATTTAGCCGCTCATTTGTTCCACGCTACTGCTGTCATTCCACTGCCCTCCGGTAGCCCAGGTGGGGCCAAACGAGGTCCCCTGCCCCCTGGTTGCCCCAGCAGGGCTGAACTAGGACTGATCCTGCCACTGCCATTTCCCTGGCCCATGCCCCCACCCTCCCATCACCCATCAGGGCTGAACTAGGACTGATCTGGCCTTGTGAGTGCCCCAAGCCGCAACCAGAATGAGCCGGCACCTTCTCAGGTGGCAGTCTCTGACTAAATGGTTCTGACAAGGTCTCCAAACAGTGTAAATTCAGCATGGGGCAGAATCAGCAGAAAAACTCTGGCAACTTGAATAACCAGAGTAGTCAACTCCCCCAAGGAAAAATGAGACAGATGCAATTGAAGACCCCATCCATAAACAGATGGCTGAGATGTCAGAAATCGAGTTCAGAATTTGGATAGCAAATAAAATTAACAGAATGGAAGAAAGGAGGGAATTAGAATTTCAATAAATTATTCAAAAGATATCTCAAGAAATTATTCAAAAGATGTCTCAAGAATTCAACAATTTCAAAGATAAAATGTCCAAAGATTTTGAAACATTGAGGCAAGAGTTTGTAGCCCTCAAAGATCTGAAAAATACAGTAGAATCCCTCGGTAACAGAATGGAACAAGCAGAAGAAAGGATCTCTGACATTGAAGACAAAGCCTTCGAACGAGCCCAAGAGCTCAAAGATGAAAAGGAATGGAGAGCAAAAATGGATCTTTCTCTCAGAGAGCTCTCGGATAATTTGAAGAAAACTAATATTTGCCTTATAGGAATCCCTGAAGATGACGAAGTTGCTTCACAAAACACAGAGGCTCTTCTTCATGAAATTATGAAAGAGAACATTCCAGACATGCCAAGGGATTCTGAAATTCAGATAGCAGATAGTTTCAGAACCCCACCATGACTCAACCCAAACAAGACATCCCCCAGGCACATCATAATTAACTTCACTAAAGTTAATATGAAAGAGAAAATTCTGAAAGCAGTTAGACATAAGAAAACCATAACCTACAAGGGGAAGAGTATTAGGATGACTGCAGATCTCTCTGCTGAAACCTTTCAGGCTAGAAGAGGATGGTCATCGACTTTTAATCTCCTAAAGCAAAACAACTTTCAACCCAGGATCCTGTATCCAGCTAAACTGAGTGTCATCTGTGACAGAGAAATTAAATACTTTAATTGCATTCACATTTGGAAGAACTTTGCCATAACTAAACCAGCTCTCCATGAAATTCTCAAACCTATCCTCCATAATGACCAGTGCAATCCTCCACAACAAAAGTAAACTCACTCAGAAAATTTTGATCAAATTCCAACTTCCACAGTGGCGAAAGGATTAAAAATGTCTAATGGACTTTTGAGCAACTCGATGCCCAAAATTTTACCAAGCTTATCAATAATTTCAATCAATGTGAATGGCTTAAATTGTCCTCTAAAGAGGCACAGATTGGCTGATTGGATACAGAAACTCAGACCATCTGTATTCAAGCCATCTGCTGTATTCAAGAATCGCATCTCACATCTTACTTTAAAAGATAAATGAAGTCTCAGGGTGAAGGGATGGTCATCTATATTCAAGGCAAATGGAAAGCAGAAAAAAGCAGGTGTTGCCATTTTATTCGCAGATATAATTGGGGTTAAACCAACAAAAGTAAGCAAGGATAAGGATGGCCATTTTAAATCTGTTAGGGAGTAATACTCAATATGACGAGATCTCAATTATCAATATCTATGCACCCAATCAGAATGGACCTCAATTTATAAGAGACGCTCTAACAGGCATAAGCAACTTGATCTGTCCCAGCTCCATCATAGTTGGAGATTTTAACATTCCTTTGGCATTGATGGACAGGTCCTCCAATAAGAAGCTTAGCAAAGAAATTTTAGATTTAAATTTAACTATTCAATTTTTGGACCTAATAAACATCTATAGAACATTTCATCCTAACAAAACTGAATACACATTTTTCTCATTAGTCCATGGAACATACTCCAAAATCGATCACATCTTAGGTCATAAGTCTAACCTCAGTAAATTTAAAAGAATAGAAATTATTCCATGCATCTTCTCAGACCATCATGGAATAAAAGTTGAACTCAGTAACAGGAATTTTCAGTCTCATACAAAAACATGGAAGCTAAATAACCTTACGATGAATGATAGATGGGTCAGAGACAAGATCAAGAAGGAAATTACCAAATTTTTAGAACAAAGTGATAATGAAGACATGAGTTATCAGAACCTCTGGGAGGGCAGCGCCTGTGGCTCAAAGGAGTAGGGCGCCGGTCCCATATGCCAGAGGTGGTAGGTTCAAACCCAGCCTTGGCCAAAAACTGCAAAATAAATAAATAAATAAAAATAAAGAATGATAGAAAAAAAAGAACCTCTGGGGATACCACAAAGGCAGTCCTAAGAGGGAAATTTATAGCATTGCAAGCCTTCCTCAAGAGAACAGAAAGAGAGGAAGTTAACAACTTAATGGGACATCGTAAGCAACTGGAAAAGGAAGAACATTCCAATCCCAAATCTAGCAGAAGATAAGAAATAACCAAAATTAAAGCAGAATTAAATGAAATTGAAAACAAAAGAATTATACAACAGATCAATAAATCTAAAAGTTGGTTTTTTGAAAAGGTCAATAAAAGAGATAAACCTTTGGCCAACCTAACCAAGAAAAAAAGAGTAAAATCCTAATCTCATCAATCAGAAATGATAAAGATGAAATAACAACAGGCCCCTTAGAAATTCAAAAAATCCTTAATGAATATTACAAGAAACTTTATTCCCAGAAATATGAAAATCTGAAGGAAATCGACCAATACTTGGAAGCATGCCACCTCCCAAGACTTAGCCAGAATGAAGTGGAAATGTTGAACAGGCCTATATCAAGTTCTGAAATAACATCAACCATATAAAATCTCCCTAAAAAGAAAAGCCCAGTACCAGATGGCGTCATGTCAGAATTCTACCAAACCTTCAAAGAGGAACTAGTACCTATATTACTTAACCTTTTCCAAAAGATAGAAAAAGATGGAATACTAACCAACCCATTCTATGAAGCAAACATCACCTTGATCCCCAAACCAGGAAAAGACCCAACAAGAAAAGAAAATTATAGACCAATATCACTAATGAATATTGATGCAAAAATATTCAACAAGATCC